GGCAGGGGCTCTGGGGGAAGGGGCAGTGCGAGGGCAGGGGCTCTGGGAGAAGGGGTGGTGCAAGGGTGAGGGCTCTGGGAGAAGGGGCGGCACGAGGGCAGGGGCTCTGGGGAAAGGGTCTTCGCGAGGGCAGTGGCTCTGGGGAAAGGGGTGGTGTGAGGGCAGGGTCTCTGGGAGAAGGGGCAGTGCAAGGACAGGGGCTCTGGGGGAAGGGGCTGGGTGAGGCAGGGGAGTCCAGGGGAAGGGGCGGCGCGAGGGCAGGGACTTTGGGGGAAGGGACGGTGCGAGGGATGGAGTTCAAGGGGAAGGGGCTATATGAGGGCAGGGTCTCTGGGAGAAGGGGCAGCACGAGGGCAGGGGCTCTGGGGGAAGGGGCTGTGTGAGGGAGGGGAGTCCAGGGGAAGGGGTGGCGCGAGGGCAGGGACTCTGGGGGAAGGGGTGATTCGAGGGCAGGGACTCTGGGGGAAGGGGCGGTGCGAGGGCAGGGACTCTGGGGGAAGGGGTGATTCGAGGGCAGGGACTCTGGGGGAAGGGGCGGTGCAAGGGCAGGGGCTCTGGAGGAAGGGGCAATGCGAGGTCAGGGACTCTGGGGGAAGGGGCGGTGTGAGAGCAGGGGCTCTGGAGGAAGGGGCAATGCGAGGTCAGGGGCTCTGGGGAAAGGGGCGGTGAGAGGGATGGAGTTCAAGGGGAAGGGGCTATATGAGGGCAGGGACTCAGGGGAAGGGGCGGTGCGCGGGCAAGGACTCTGGGGGAAGGGGGGGTGCCAGGGATGGAGTTCAAGGGGAAGGGGCGGTGCGAGGGCAGGGGAAATGGGCGGCATGAGGGGTGTCGCCACTGTTCAGTCGCCGGTGGCCCCCCCACTCTTAGGAAGCTTCTGGTGCCCCTGGATCCCACCCACATAGTCTTGGGGACGGGGTGAGGCCTACAGGGAGGCGCTGAGTAACAGTTGGTGCTGTGTCCCGGGTCTATGCCAGCCACCCTGCCACCATGACAAGGAGTTTCACTGCCCCCCAACTCGAGAGTGAGGCTGCAGTACCCCCTCCAACATTCCTCCAGTATCCTTCCCAGTACACACACACCCCTCCAGTACCCCCCAAACATCCCCACCAGCACCCTCCAGATCCCCTCTTTCCCCCACAATAGTGTCCTCTTTGGGGGAACCTGAACTATGGTAACCCTAACTAGGGAGAAGCCAATGGGCTTTTGATGCATCCACTAAGAAAGTATCTCACAAGTGTTGGCCTCTTGTGGAAAGATGGAAGTACCTAATTTCTAGAGCCCTGCACACTCGCGGATATCTGCTTTATAGCCACAGATATCCATGGATCATTTTTGTGGATTGTGGCTCAGATGCGGATACAAATTTTGTATCCATGCAGGGCTCCACTAATTTCACCCCCCAGGGATGGAAGAGGATGGACTTGCTGATAGTGCTACATTATCATTATACACACAATTCCATAGAGCTATAGACATTAAGGCCAGAAGGGACCTTCGTGATGATTTGGGCTGACCTGCACATTGCAGTGAAATGCACAACAGGGCTCGTGCCTGGACACAGCTGTCATCTCCAAGTCTAGCTGTGTAATATTACGGCAGGGTGCCGGTGGGAAGGTTAGAGGGGAGCTCTCTGTATCTGTAACTGCGGCCCATTCCTTTCCAATAAGCAAGGCACCATCATGCAGCTGCACTCAGTTCTGCACCTTATCTACACACTAGAAACAATCATGATCATTTACTGGGGGCCCGGGCTGGCTGCTGCACAGACTGGCTGGCCTGGTGCCCCGAGCTCAAAGTGCATTGGGCACAGACAGAAAGACGGGGTCTGGCGCCCCAAGCTCAGAGTGCATTGGGCACACACAGACAGGGCCTGGCTCACCGAGCTCAGAGGGCATCGGACACAGACAAACAGACAGGGCCTGGCACATTGGGCACAGACAGACAAACAGGACCTGGCACCCCGAGCTCAGGGGGCATCGGGCACAAACAGACAGACAGGGCCTGGCACATTGGGCACAGACAGGACCTGACACATCGGGCACAAACAGACAGACAGGGCCTGGCACATTGGGCACAGGCAGACACCCGTAGTCAGTCTCTCCCCATAGCTCGTCTGCATGTGGGGGTGGTTGCTTTGTGGGGAAGGAGCCGGCTGTCCCTGTGCACCTGACAATGGTTCTGCAGGTCACACCACATGCTGTCCCCATGGCTGGGCACAGGCTGCTCAGGGATGGGCATGGGAGCTGCACCAGGGAAAGCTGGGTGGGGGACAGAGCAGGGGAGCCTTCCAAGGCAGCTGGGGAGGGTAATGGGGGAGCTGAGACCTCCAGCCAGTAGCCGCAGCCCCCAGATGAGCCCCATCAGCGTCCCCACAGTCCAGGCAGCTGTCAGCCCTGGGGCTGCTCTGTGCAGGATCCCACCGGCCGGTCTCTCACTGCAGGCTGAGCCCAGCCCAGCCCGGCGGCATGCGGCTCTCACAGCACCGCGTCTTCCCTCACCAGCCAAGTCATATCGCTGTCGGGCTGCTCAGGGGGCTCTGGATTTGCTGCTCCCTGGGGCCGGGCCGGGGTCCCTGGAGCCCCCAGCGCCTCCATGTGCACATGGCCTGCAAGCAAGAGGACAGGGTGAAGTGCCCAGGCTAGGGTTGCCAACTTTCTAATTGCACAAAACCGAACACCCTTGCCCGACCCCCTGCCCCTTCTCTGAGACCCCACCCACCTCCCTCCAGCCCCCCTCTCTCTATCGCTTGCTCTCCCCCACTCTCACTCACTTTCACGGGGCTGGGGCAGGGGCTTGGGGTGCCGGGGGGGTGAGGCTTCCAGATGGGGGTATGGGGTGCTGGGGGTGGGGCCAGAAATGAGGGGTTCAGAGTCTGGGAGGGGGCTCCAGTCTGGGGCAGGGGGTTGGAGTGTGGAAGTGAGTGAGGGCTCTGGCTGGGGGTGTGGGCTCTGGGGTGGGGCTGGGGATGAGGGGTTTGAGGTGCAGGAGGGGGCTCCAGGCTGGGGCCAAGGGATTTTGAGTGCTGGAGGGGGCTCAGGGTTGGGGCAGGAGGTTGGGGTGCAGGTGGGGCTGTGGGGTCTGGGAGGGAGTTAGGGTGCAGGACGGTGTTCCGACCTGGGGCAAGGGGTTGGGGTGCGGGTCCGGGCTCTGGGAGGGAGGGTGCAGGAGGGGGTTCTGACCTTGGCCAGGAGGTTTGGGCTTTGGGTGTGGGCTCTGGGAGGGAGAGTGCAGGAGGGGGTTTTGACCTGGGGCAGGGGGTTGAGGTGCGGGTGGAGGTGTGGGGTCTGGGGTCTGGGAGGGAGTTAGGGTGCAGGAGGGGGTTTTGACCTGAGACGGGGGTTGGGGTGTGGGTGTGGGCTCTGGGAGGGAGGGTGCAGGAGGGTTTTTTGACCTGGGGCAGGGGCTTCAGGCTGTGGGCTCTGGCCAGGCAGCGCTTACCTCAGGAAGCTCCCAGTCAGCAGCGCAGCGGGCTTAAGGCAGGCTCCCTGCCTGTCCTGGCTCCACGCTGATCCTGGAAGCGGCCGGCATGTCCGGCCCTGAGGCAGAGGCACAGTCACCAGGGGGCTCTACACGGTGCGTGCTTCCTGCACCAGCAGGCACTGCCCCCCACATCTCCCACAGAGCTTGGTTCCTGGCCAATGAGAGCTGCGGAGCCGGCGCTGGGGGCAGGAGCAGCATGCGGAGCTTCCCTGATCACCCCTGTGCCTAGGGGTTGCAGGGACATGGTGGCCACTTCCGGGGAGCTGCACAGATCCAGAGCAGGGAGGGAGCCTGCCTTAGCCCTGATACGTCACCAATTGGACTTTTAACGACCTGGTCAGCGGTGCTGACCCGAGCCACCACAGTCTCTTTTCAACCGGGCGTTCCAGTCAAAAAACGGATGCCTGGCAACCCTAGCCACCCCCAGCCCGCCCTCACCCAGCATCCCAGGGTGCCTTGTGAATGGGACCCCACTGCCAGGGCAGGGCTGTAGGGACGGGGCACCCGCAGGCCGGGACAGTGGGCCTGTGCATGGCAGTTAGAGCAGAGACCCCAGTAGCTGTGAGAGCAGAAGGTTCCCATGCAGGGAGGCAGCCCAGGGCATGGACAGGGCACTGGGCTGTTGCTCAGGGATATTGGGCTCCAGCTGGGGCTGGATTCTGGGTCAGGATGGCAAGGCAGCCCTTGTCCCAGCTCCCCTTCCCCTCCCGTGCGGGGCGCCGTGCCTTGCAGCGCTGTGCTCGGGGTTCAGGGCTCTTACCCAGGGAGTTCCCAGTGGCTCTGTCCTGACGCATCCTCCAGCAGAGCAGGACCCCACAGATCAGCACCACGAGGGCACCCAGGCCGAGGAGCACAGAGCAGAGTAGCCCAGAGCCTGGGGAGAGAACCAGGAAATGAGCTGTGCCCGTCTCTGCACCACAGCCCCTGAGACTGACTCCCTCCCCACCCACAGGCCCCTGCCAAGGCTGACTCCCTCCCCTGCCCCATAACCCCCATGGTTGACCATACATCCCGTTTTGGCCAGGACAGTCCCTTTTTTAAGCCCTGTCCCAGCCATCCTGAATTTTTTGGCAAACGTGGGCATATGCCAAAAAGTGGGGTGCAGAGCAACATTGGGGGGCAGGTGGCAATGCCAGCTCCGTGCAGGGGGAGATGCAGGGGTCGGGAGGGGGGCAGGCAGGGCTTGGGTGCGTAGCGACACCAGCCCAGCTTGGCATGAGGGGGCAGGCAGGACTCAGGTGAGTGGCTTGGACCAGCCCTGCACAGTGGGGGGGAAGGAGGGCTTGGGCTAGACCCATGTGGTGTTCCGTTTTCCCTTTGGGAAATATGGTTACCCTACCCCCCACCCCCCCCCCCCCCCGGCAGAGGCAGATTTAGGTTTCCTGCGGCCCTGGGCCAGAGCAAGTGGGGGCTCCTCCCTACCTCTTCTACCTGCAACCCCACCCATGGCCCCATCCTGTTCTGCCTCTTCCCCGGAAGCCCTGCCCTTGGTCCATCCACAGCCCTGACCCATTCCACCGTCCATTTGCTCCTCTCTGCCCCCCCCCACCACTGCAGCCCAAAGGCCGAAGAAGCTCTGTCCCCCCTGCCAGAGTCCCGGGGCTGCAGTGGGGAGCAAGCACTCCTCTAGTCCCGAGGCTGCAGCAGTTACCAAGTTTCTACTCGCCCAAAACCAAACACCCTTGCCCCGCCCCATGCCCCGCTCCTCCTCTGAGGCCCTGCCCATGCCCCGCTTCTTCTCCAAGTCCCCACCCCGGCTCACTTCATTCCTTCCGCCCCGTCGCTTGCTTTCCCCACCCTCACTCACTCGCTCATTTTTACCGGGCTGGCTCAGGAGGCTGGGGTGCTGGGGGGGGGGGCGGATACGGGCTCTTGATGGGGGTGCAGACTCTGATGTGTGGCCGGGCGTGAGGGATTTGGGGTGAAGGTGGGGGCTGAGGGCTGGGGTGTGGGAAGGGGTGCAGGCTCCAGCTGCAGATGAGGGGTTTTGGGTGAAGGAGGGGGCTCTGTGCGTGGGCTCAGGGGTTCAGAGGGTGGGAGAGGGCTCTGGGTGGGGGCAGAGGGTTGGGGTACGGGGGATGTGAGGGCTCTGGCTGGGGGTTCAGACTCTGAGTTGAGGCTGGACATGAGGGGTTTGGGGTGTAGGAGGGTTCTCTGGGCTGGGACCGAGGGGTTTGGAGGGTGGGAGGGGGATCAGGGCAGGGAGTTGGGGCATGGTGGGGGAGATGAGGGCTCTGGCTGGGGGTGTGCGCTCTGGGGTGGAGCTGGGGATGAGGGGGTTGGGGTGTAGGAGGGTGATCTAGGCTGGGATCGAGGGGTTCGGAGGGCAGGAGGGGGATCAGGGCTGGGACTGGGACAGGAGGCTGGGGCCTCGGAGGGGGTCAGGGTGCAGGCTCCGGGTGGCACTTTCCTCAAGCTGCTCCCGGAAGCAGCGGCATGTCCCCCCTCCAGCTCCTACAGAGAGGTGTAGCTAGGAGGCTCTGCATGCTGCCCGCCCCACAGGCACCGCTCCCACAGCTCCCATTGCCTGTGGTTCCTGGACAATGGGAGCTGCGGAGGCGGTGCTTGGGGCAGGGGTAGCCTGTGGAGCCCCCTGGCTGCCCTACGTGTAGGAGCTGGAGAGGGGACATGCCAGCTGCTTCCTGGGAGCCACAGAGAGCCTGCCAGCCCAGCTGCATGGCGATGCCAACCGGACAGTCAATGGCCCGGTCAGCAGGGCTGACCGTAGCCACCAGGATCCCTTTTGGACCAGATGTTCCAGTCAAAAACTGAACACCTGGTCACCCAAGCTGGGGCTTCCCCAGTCCCGCCCACCTGCCCGGTGCTTCTGCCAGGGATTGAATTCACCTGGAGCTTCTGCTAGGGCTCTGGGCTTCTGTTGCCCCACAGAGGATTTCTGCTGGGGGTGGGGCCCCCATTTTTCCAGGCCCCCAATTGGCTGGGGCCCCTGAGCGTGGGCCCCAGAAGGCCCATTGTATAATCCACCACTGCCCATGGCTGACTCCTTCCCCTGCCCCACAGCCCCTATGGGGCCAATTCTGACCCTCACTCCACAGACCACCCTGTGGCCACCTCCCTGCCCCATCCCACAGCCCCATGCAGAGCTGAGTCTATCCCCCTCAGCACCTTGGCCGCTGACCCTGTCCCCCTGCCACAGACCCCGAGGAGGAGCACGGCATGTGGAGCTGTGCAGGGCCCTGCGCTGGGGGTGGCTCACGGGTCCCAGCTCAGACTCGAGCCTGAACACAGGTCACGCATGTGGGGTTGGAGGAAGCTCTGACTACTGCCCCCAGGGACCATTTCCAGCCCAAGGAGTGTGGAGGGGGTTAGAGAGAGGGTTGGGGGCACCAGCTTCCAGAGGTCCCTCCCCAGCTGCTCCCACAAGCACTGCCCCCCAGACCCCACAGGCTCTCTGCCCCCCAGATCTGTGCTCTGGGTCTGCCTGCAGGAGTAGCAGCCTCCAGCTCCGGAGCCAGGGCTGGCAGGAGAGGGAGCCCCGTCGTGGAGGAGGCTGCTCAGAGACCCAGGAGTGGTGCCCCAGGCTGAGCAGGGCTGTGGGAACCGCTGGGACGGCCAGTAACCTCAGTGTGGTGGGCAGAAGCCCTGGCGCTGCCCCCCGGAGACCGGCCTCCCCCTGGCATGGCCAGGGTGTCACCCCTGCCCACCCCATGTCTGCAGGAACATGGGCATGGCTACGGTGCTGGGCACTCACCGGCCTGCCCGGCACACACCACGCTGGCCTCAGAGCCATGGCCACACAGCCCAGGACCCAGCCGGCTCAGCTGGCACTCGCTGATGAGAGACTCCTGGCCTGAGCAGCTCAAGCCCTCCAGCCAGACGTCGCCGGCCCCGTGGCCGAACTGAGCAACCCCCGGGGCTGACAGCGCCGTGCCGCAGCCCAGCTGCTTGCACACCACCCCGGCCTCCGGCAGGCCCCAGCCGGCGTCACACACGGCACCCCAGGTGTCGTTAATCAGCACCTCCACTCGCCCAGAGCAGGGGCTTGGGCCACTCGTCAACTGCAGCCTCAGCTGGCCCTGATCTGAAAAACAAAACACAGGGCATGAGAGGCTGTTCCCAGCCACCAGATGCCCGGATACACAGCACCGCACGTGGGGGAATGGGGGGTTCTGCACAAAGCAAAGAGGAGCCATTTCTATATCACCCCACCCATCTGTGTGCACGCACACTCATAAACACACACACACGCTGCACCCCTAAACACAATGCCACACAAGTAGACACACACACCCACACAATCCCATGCACAACCCCCATAAGTCCCTGTGCACACCCACACATTGCCTCAAACACACACACTGCCACATGCACACGCACTGCCGCACATGTATGCAAATGCTCATAGACTGACACGTGCACACCCCTTCACACACACACCTGCACAAACACTGCCCGTCATAAATATAAAGGAAAGAGTAGCATAAAATTCCTCCTGGGCAGCTATACTGAATCACTTTACCTGTAAGGGGTTAAGAAGCTCAAATAACCTTGTTGGCACCTGACCAGAAGGACCAATAAGGAAAAAAGATACTTTTAAATGGGGTGTGTGTGTTTGTGCTCTCTTTGTTTGTTCCCTCTCCAGATGGACAGAGAGACCAGGCAGGTACAACATCTCCTGAAAACCTACCTGAAATGAACCATCTAACATTACAAAAATTGTAAGTAAGGCAAGGAAATGTGTTAGGTTATCTGTTGTTTTAGCTTGTGAATTTTCCCTATGCTAAGAGGTAGTTTTATTTCGGTTTTTGTAACTGTGAAGCTGAGTCCAGTGGGGAGTCCTCTGTGTTTTAAATCCTTTTATTACCCTGTAATGTTACCTTCCCTCCTGATTTTGCAGGTGTGATTTTTTTACATTTTCTTTATAATAAAGTTCTTCTTTTAAGAACCTGATTGATTTTAGTGTCCTAAAGATAAAGGGTCTGGTCTGTACTTACATTAAAGACAATTGATTGGTATATTATTCTTAAGCCTCCCCAGGAAAGGGGGTGAAGGGGCTTGGGGGTATATTTTGGGGGAATCGGGATTCCAAGTGACCCGTCCCTGAATTTTTGGTTAAATCACTTGGTAGTGGCAGCAATACCGTCCAAAGAGAAGGAAAGGAATTTGTTCCTTGGGTAATTTTTTAACCTAAGCTGGTAGAATATAAGCTTAGGGGGTCTTTCATGCGGGTCCTCACATCTGTAGCTCAGAGTTCAGAGTGGGGAGGGAACCCTGACACTGCCACAAACAGGTACAGAGACAATCACACACAAAACCTGAAACGCGCACGCACACACACACCACCACACCTAGGCTGACTTCCAGGGGTTAGCACCCTCTGCAGATCCCCCACCCCACTTCCAGCAGCAGAGGCTCCTACCGCACTGGGTGTTACCTGAGCACACAACACTGGCATCTTCTCCGGGGTTACAGCCATGCTCTCCCCAAGGCTTAGCCTTGCATTCGGTGAGGGCAGCTTCTGCCCCTATGCACTGAACCTCATCCAGCCACACACGGTCAGATCCTTGTCCAAAGTGAGCCCCACGTGGCGCTGATAACGCCGTCCCACAGCCCAGCTGCCTGCACACGACTTCAGCATTGGACAAGCCCCAGCTGTCATCACACACTGTTCCCCACTGCTGGTTGTGAAGCACCTCGACCCTCCCAGGACTTTGTAAATAAACCAGATTGCACCAAAGAAACACTTGACTTATGTAAACAATTCCTCCTCTTCCCAGAAACATCCGTCACGGCTCCACTATGGCTAATGCAACCATCAGGCAACACTCCTCATTTAGGAAGAGCAGAGTGGGCATACGGCAGTGGGGGGTGGCGCCCTGACTTGCTTTACAGTTAGTAAGCACTCAGCAGTGTTGGACATGGAAAGTGTAGGGAACACTGTTCCCATTGAGACATGCAATAGGGCAGGGTTGCCAACTGACTAATCGCACAAGACCGAACTGCCGTGAAACAATTCTGAAAGCAGATGTTTTAGAAAAACGTCCAATCTTCATTCCAAAATTGCCAACAAGGGAGAGTCCACCAAGCCGCTTGGAAAATTGTTCCAATGCCTAATTACTCTCACTGTTACAAATGTACGCCTTATTTAGAGTCTGAATGTGTACAGCTTCAACTTCCAGCCAGTGGATCGTACTGTACCCTTCTCAGCTGGACAGTTTGTTTCCTATATAGGTACTTATAGACTGTGATCAAGTCACTTGTGATGGGATGAGGGAACCCCGTCCAGTGTGGGGTGAGTGCATCCTATCCTCCGAGCCGCCCTCTGCCTCAGGGTGGTGAGGCCAAATGGCTAGAGCCGATATAATTACCTTTGCCTCCAGGACTGTACAGCCTAGTGGTCAGAGTCAATTCGGCTGCCCTTGGGTAGAGAACCTAATGGTAAGGTTTATATGGCTGCCCTCTCCCTTAGTGCTGTGTCCCAATGGCCAGAGTCAGCAGAGTTGCTCCTATCCACAAGGGGGTAAGGCTTTGCAGCCAGAGCCAATGGGCCACCACCTGAGGGGAAGGGGTGGCTGGAGTGGATGGAATCTGACAACGGAACACACTTCATGTCACAAGTCGTTCAAAAGATATCGGATGCCCTACAGATCCCCTGGAAGCTCCACACACCATGGTGACCGCAGGCCAGTGGGGTAGTGGAACGTACAAATCAGACTCTTAAGCGACACCTCTCAAAGGTCTGCCAAGAGGCTTCTCTTCAATGGCCTGATGCCTTACCCCTCGTTTTGCTCCGCATTCGCGCTCTCCTAAAGGGCAGGTTAGGGCTCAGTCCCTTCGAGATTATGTTTGGAAGGGCATGGCCTATGAATGGTACACCAGTTCTGTCAGGGGAGTGGGAAATGGGGTGTGGCTTCTTATCTCAGTATATGTGCTCTCTGTCTGCTGTTCTCTGTTCTCTCCACAGGTATACCAAAGATTTGCAGCCTCTCCCGCTGGATGCCCCGATCCACTCCTTGCAGCCAGGTGACTCCGTTCTCGTTCATACCTGGAAGGACGAGCCTCTCCAAGAGAAGTGGAAGGGACCCCACACCGTCCTGTTGGTTTCCCATACAGCAGCAAAGGTCGAAGGACACAAAAACTGGATCCATCACTCTCGTCTAAAAGCAGTGTCCGCTCCTGAACGGTGGACTGTCCAGCTTGCAGAGAAGACTGCCAGCGACGATCTGGGACTTAAACTGTTATTCAGGCGACAATAATGTCTGCTGGGAATGCCCTGTGATCTCTTTGGACAGTCGCAGCGCACTCCCCGCAAGAACTCTGAGCATTGGTTGTGTTTATTTTCACAGGGCCGGCCTAACCTGGTGGCCTGGTCCCTTTTGTTTTTAATCTGCCTGCTATTGGTAATTGTTATTTTGTGGGTATTTGGGGAATTGTAATTGTTAGGCCCTAGGGTTACCTGCCCAAAATGGAATCAGGTCCAGGGTCTGCCACAGTGGTACTCTTTGCCATAGGGACAGTCCTCTTGTTAACTCCCATTTCCCCCCAAACACATGCGGGATGGAAAGAAATCCTTACTAACTTGGAAACCAACACATATGAGTCCCTGAAAGTTTGCTTTGCCCAAGAGTTTAACCTCTCAAACTGCTGGATATGCTCCCAAATCCCGCACCATGCAGCAGGGTTACCCTGGAGGGTAATTCCCCAAAATTGGTCAGATATCTGTTGGGGATGGTTCAGTAGGGGGAAAGATGCCCCGGGTACCCCCTTGTCGCAAAACTGTACCATTGAATCCCAGTATGCATTAAGGGACGACCCCTGGAAGCCGCAGGCCAAGTCAACGCACATCCCTTCCCCATTAGGCTGCGGTCAGTGGCCCCCAGGTTGGTGTGCTATCGACAGTTCCAGTCCAGCAATCACACCTGGTCTGCTGGGAATAGCACCTGTCAGTATTATTTATCCCCTGACAGTGACGCTTCTATCCCTGTCTATGTTAACGGCAAATCCGACTCTGCCACCCGGTTCGGAGGGTTTAATGACAGACAAACAGATAGGTGGAGTAGCGGTTATAACGGCTTGGTAGGGAATGGCCACTCCTTTTACATTTGTGGAACCTCTGCCTATAAGTGGCTACCGCATCGGTGGTATGGAAGCTGTTATCTAGGATATCTTGCCCCTCCCCTTCGTGTCCTCCCTAAACTGCCCCCTGGCCACCCCAGGCAGCGTAGATCTTTGTATGCCACCCCAGAGCCCATTAAGGAAGGAGACAGGTTGTGTATGATCCTCCTCCCCTCCTATGGGGTGGGACGGCTGACTCAATTTTATCGTAGGCTCTCTGTGTTTCTCACCAAGTATGCCAATGAGACCCTGGCCATAGAGAAAAGCCTTAATTCAGAGCTTTACCAGCTCCGGTTGCTGTCCTTGCAGAACAGACAGGCCTTAGATTATGTTTTAGCCTCCCAGGGCGGGGTGTGTGCCCTTATTGGAAATGAATGTTGTACTTACGTCCCGGAAAACTCACAGGACATTAACAAGCACGTCCTGTCAGACGAACAGGCTTTCGAGCAGTGGAAGGCCCAGGAAAGGGAACCCACAGTTTTCGATTCCCTTTGGAGTTGGTTGCCTGACCTGGGAGGACTGGGGGGTGGCCTTGTGCGTCTCCTCCTCACAGGTGTGGTACTGTGCCTGGTCACCCACCTCCTGATCGCTTGTTTTAAGATGCTCCTCCGTAAGCTTTGTGTCCCCCGTTCCCCAACAGTCCCAGCATACCCTCTCATTGAGAACCCCAGCTCCATGGCACTCAGTCGTATCTTGTCCACAGAATATGAGAAAACTCAGCCAAAAGCTTGTTGAGTATTCTCAAAGGAGGGAGTTGTTGGTGTCACTAGGCATAACCCTAGGTAACTCGGGAGGGTGGAAGACCACAAGTGTCAATGAAGCCTTCCTGCACTAGGCCTAAGTGAACCAAAGTCCATCCATGTTTAAACTCTAATCGACCTCAAAAGCCAGGTGCAAAAATTGGAATGTGTAACAGCCAGTTATCAGTTGCAGCACCTCTCATACCGGTCCCAAGCGGTAATAATGAGGCCTGCATGTTTCTGGCTGAAGGGGAAATAACAGTTCAAAGGGAAAAAGGACAAGATAACGGTTTAAAGAAGTGTTACTAACGAGCTAGACTTATAGCCGCCAAGATGATTTAACTGCTTAAATGTATAAACATAACTGCTATAGGGAGAAGGGAGGGGGGAAGGGGGAGGAAGAGGGGGGGAAAAAAAGGGAATAGCTTAGCTGCAAAAATGTATAAAAAGAGAAAAGGTGCTTGTGATGGTGTGCTTGATTTGAGATGTACCAGTCTCCTTGCACCGCTTTGAGATCTCAAATAAATGTTGATTGCTTCTCCACCCTGGTGTGTTCATTGGCATGAAGCACACTGGGCAACGAACCCCGCTGTTGCTGTCCTTGGGCCCTCTGTGCGGCAACAAAGGCCTCTTACCACACCACACATACTCCTCTCTGCAGTAGAGGCCCATAGCACAGTGATGGGGCTCTCGGGTCAGCACTAACTCAGACAGAAAAGCATGCTCTATTGAGCTTCCCAACAGGCTCTCTGCAGCATCAACAGTGCAATGGAGGGTGAGAGTTACCTGAGCACACAACACCAGCATCTTCCGCATAATTGTAGTTATGGTCTCCCCAAGGCCTAGCCCTGCATTTGAAGATGGCAGCTTCTGCCCCTGTGCAGTTAACCTCATCCAGCCAGGGACGGTCAGATCCTTGTCCAAATCTAGCCCCATGTGGCTCTGATAACGCCGTCCCACAGCCTAGCACACAACTCCAGCATCATGTAAGGCTGCCATCACACCCAGTTCCCCACTGCTGGTTATGAAACACCTCGACTCTCCCAGTCCAGCGATTGTGGCCATGCACTTGCTGGAGCAAAGACACTTCTGAGATGCCTGAGCCTTCAAACACCCAAGGGAATAAACACTCAGGGAGGTTCCTGTGCCTCTGGTTGTTAGAGATGCTGGGGAACGTAGCGCCTTCCACTTTGGGGTCTAAATCGGCTCCATACACAGCGACTGCCTGTCCCGGGCTGAATCTCCACCACTGACATCCAGCTCTCATGGTGGTCCCTGAGCTGTTCCCTGCAGCACAGGCCCTTAGCACCACACTGGACTATTGGGATCTGCACTGACTGTGAGGGTAGAGCAACCCCCTACTGAGCCCCCATGCCACTCCCTGCAGCACAGGCATGTAGAAGTGTGGAGGAGATATGAGATCAGCACTGACACCATTGGAAGAGGAACACTTACTGTGACCCCCAACGGGCTCCCTGCAGTACAAGCCCTTAGCACCATGCTGGGGTACTTGGGTCAGCGCTGACTCAGACAGGAGAGCTGGGTCTGTGCTGAAAGTTTCCCAACCCGAACCGTACAGCACCTACAGTAACATCATGGAGGGTTACCTGAGCACACAACACCGGCATCTTCTCCGTGGTGACAGTTATTGTCTCCCCAAGGCCGAGCCCTGCATTCGGTGAGGGCAGCTTCTGTCCCCATGCAGTGAACATCATCCAGCCAGATACGGTCAGATCCTTCCCCAAATCGAGCCCCTCCTGGGGCTGATAACGCCGTCCCACAGCCCAGCTGCCTGCACACGACTCCAGCATCAGTTATGTCCCAGTTGTCTTCACACACGGTTCCCCACTGTTGGTTGTGAAGCACCTCAACTCTCCCAGTGCAGCGACTTGAACCATTCACCAGTCGGAGCTGAGACACTTCGGAGATGCCGGAGTCTGAAAACACCCCAAGGGAATAAACACTCAGGGAGGTTCCTGTGCATCTGATCTCTCGTGTCACTGGGGATCATAGCACCTCCCGCCAACGGATCTGACCGGTAGCTGCACACAGCCACTGCCTGTCAAGGGCTCCTCACCACTGACCAAGCTAATCATGTGGCCAATGTTGAAGTTTGTCCACCCATCTCCCAGCCACGTGTCACCTAGTTAGGCAGACTGGACGGCAGTCTGACCTACTGCTCCCAGTAGAGCACTTAATGAAAAAGATCACCCCCTGCACTGCTGGCAGGAACCTCCCGGGGAGCAGATTTACACCCTCACTCCAGTGCGATACTGTGCAGTGCTGCGGGGCAGACGCTGGCATAAGCATCTCGGTGACTGGGAGTTAAACATAGTCACCCGTGTCATTAGTGGTTGCCTTAGTCTGACATCCGCATCCAATTTACATGTGTTCACTCCATACCTCCATAAAAATGTCACCCAGAGTCCATCCCCCTTAAAACTGCCTGGAGCGCAGGGACGATTGGCAGGAACCTCCTGCGCACTAGGCTGACAATGGTTCCAACCAGTGCAGAGGCAATGCACACTTCCTACAAGCAGATCGGCCCCCTCCTGAAGCAAACACCTGCCCCTGCGGTTCCTACTGACTTGCCACGACTGACTTGGCAACATCGTTTTGTGGCAGCCATTGCTGCACTCGTGTCTAGTGCTGCCAGGTCAGTACCAGTCTCAGATGAAGGATGACAGAGCTGGGCTGACAGCTGTGTCCTCACAGAGGGGCAGCAACTCTTGGATAGAGACACTGGCGTGTTGATGGATTTTCAGAAGCCTTAACTTGTATCTGCCCATTTACAATCTGGGACACAGATCCTGGACTAGGCTTAATGGGCCCCTGACTGGACTGGCCAGAGGCACTGCTGAAATGCAGAAAAGTGGCTTAGCCTGATCTGCTCAGTGTGCCTGTGGGGCAGAAATACAGACAGTCACACGTGGTGGAGGAGAGCCCCATTAGAAGACTGGACCTTGAGGATGCACAGTCAGATGGCTGAACTAGCTAGAGGTAAGCAAGGACAGAATGAGCTCTCCCCTGACAGCTAGTGATGAGCTGGGGAGGGGGAAAGGCTTCAGGACCAGACTGTATTTACATCAACACACCCACTCTGCCTAGGTATCCAACAGACAGGTGTGTTGGCTGATGCTGGGTTACAAATCATTGTAGTAATTGAAAGCGGGGTAGTGAAATGTTGTTGTCCTGATTGTGTGAATAATGGACAGCAGAACTGTGCTTCCTCTGCCCTGACTGAAGGGGTCACCCACAACTGAACTGAACTCACTAACCAGGGGGCTCAGATAACAGACCCCTATCAAGAGTGAGAGGGGGTGAAGATGGATGTTCCTGCTGAGGGGTGTGGCCGCTGTGTAAGGGGTCTAGGGGTAGTTTAATCTGCCCCTCACCACTCTTCAAAGGCTCCATTAGGAGTCTTTTTGGTTTCAGTGATCACTAGAGCTGCTGTGAGACAGTGTTTCTGCCCAGCCTGCTTCAGCACTGAGGGTTCCCCACTAAGAGCTGACACTCACGGAGAGCTGGGTGGAGCCTCAGGAGAGCAACCTGCAGAGGTCACAGTAGAGAGCCAGCAGCCCACTCATCACCCTAATGGGAGCAAGATGTTTGTATGGGACATAGTTGAAGAGAGATGTAAAATGTAGAATATGAGGCTCCAGAAGTGTTGAAGTGAAGCTTGTCACCTGCGCCATGGCAATCCCTTCGGATGAGCCAATCGGCACATAGAAAAAAATACAGCTGTGGAGACAGGCTATATTCACTGTCTGGGTCAAGTGGGGGCCTGAGAATTTACAAAGACAAAGGACCCTCAGCACAAGTGTCAAAGTTCCTTCCCCACTCTGAACTTTAGAGTACAGATATGGCGACCTGCATGTAAACTTCTAAGCTTAATTACCAGCTTAAATCTGGTTTTGCTACCACCACTCCCAAGAGCTAACTCCCTGCCCTGGGTAGCCTTGAGAGACTGCTCCACCAATTCCCTGGTGAACACTGATCCAAAACCCCTTGGATCTTAAAACAAGGAAAAATTAATCAGGTTCTTAAAAAGAAGGCTTGTAATTAAAGAAAGAAAGGTAAAAATCATCTCTGTAAAATCAGGATGGAAAATAACTTTACAGGGTAATCAGATTCAAAGAGCCCAGAGGAACCCCCTTCTAGCCTTAAGTTCAAAGCTACAGCAAACAGAGATAAACACTCTAGCAAAAGGAACATTTACAAGTTGAGAAAACAAAGATAAACCTAATACACCTTGCCTGGCTGTTACTTACAAGTTTGAAATATGAGAGACTTTTTCAGAAGATTTGGAGAGCATGGACTGATGTCTGGTCCCTCTTAGTCCCAAGAGCGAACAAAAACCAAAACAAAGAGCACAAACAAAAGCCTTCCCCCCCACCAAGATTTGAAAGTATCTTGTCTCCTTATTGTTCCTTTGGGTCAGGTGTCAGCCAGCTTACCAGAGCTTCTTATCCCTTTACAGATAAAAGGATTTTGGAGTCTCTGGCCAGGAGGGATTTTATAGTATTGTACACAGGAGGGCTGCTACCCTTCCCTTTATAGTTATGACAACAAGTCTCTGAAGAGAGACCTACTCTGGGAAGAGACAATGGCTTGTACCTACAAAGAAAGAGGAGAGGGGACAAGAGCTCCCCTTCACCCAGGAGGCGGCTGACAGCGTTTGTCTCAGGAATAGGAGATCATAGCCAAGCCTGGAGTAAAACCCTGGAAGGATTGTGGGGTAAGCGTTGCTCTACCAGACAGAAAAGTATCTCGTTCAATGAGTCTAGGGTCTAGTCAGCGTGGTATGATTTTATTGTCCATAGAACCATTTCTTTCCAACCCTTCTCCTTGCAACCCCTCGAATCTCTACACTCTGTGAAATCATTTGTCCATGGTGCTTGGTGTGACTGCACTGGGGCATTAGGGCCAGCACAACTACAAATGGAGGACCCCCACACTGACAACCCCCTACCTCCAGCACAGGCCCCCTACCACAGCACTAGGGAACTGGGGCCAGCACGGACTTCAAGGGGAGAGCGTGAGTGTCCCCTACTGATCCCCCACACCGCTCCCTGCAGCACAGGCACATAGAGCCACACAGGGGAATTAGGGTCAGCACAGACTGAGAGGAGAGCGCTCCCTACAGGAACCGCCATATTGCTCCCTGAAACACTGGCCCCAAGCACCATGCTGGGGTCAACACTGGCTGTGAGGGGACAATGCCCCATAATGAGCTTCCCACCCTGCTCCCTGCAACAGGCACAGTGGTAGATGAAGGTTACCTGAGCACACAACACCGGCATCTTCTCCGTGATGACAGTTATTGTCTCCCCAAGGCCGAGCCCTGCATTCGGTGAGGGCAGCTTCTGTCCCTGTGCAGTGAACATCATCCAGCCAGATACGGTCTGATCCTCGCCCAAATCGAGCCCCTCCTGGGGCTGATAATGCCGTCCCACAGCCCAGCTGCCTGCACACGACTCCAGCATCAGTTATGTCCCAGCTGTCATCACACACGGTTCCCCACAGCTGGTTGTGAAGCACCTCGACTCTCCCAGCGCAGCGACTTGGACCATTCACCAGTCGGAGCAGAGTCACTTCTGAAATACCTGAGTCTGCAAAGCCCCAAGGGAATAAACACTCAGGGAGGTTCCTGTGCATCTGATCACTAATGACGCTGGTAAACATGGAGCCTCCAACTTACGGGTCTGAACAGCCTGTGCAACAGCCTGTTAGGGGTTCACTCCCTGTCAATTTATATTATTACAGTTGAAGTTGTTTTATCCGGCGTGTTGGGGAAATGGGGAGCACCAGTTTGTGGTGGAGCCTCAGGAGACCAACCTGCAGAGGTCACAGTAGAGAGGCTGTGGACATGTAGCCTGGGGTAGGACAGGGCAGCTGAGAAACAGGACAGGGAAATATGCAGGCTGTGTAGGGCAGTAATTGAGAAAGAATTGGGTCTCCTATGTCCAGCTCTTGGGGAAGTTACAAGTTCAGGACTAATTCCCTGAAATGCAAATCCACCGGAACACAGTAATTGGGAACCGGACTCTTGAGAAATTGGCCCTGGATTTTTAGTCTGAGTGAGCGGCTGCAGGCTCCATTGACACCAAATCCAACCAGTGTAAGAAGCAGTTACCCAGGTCCCCAATGTGCCGCAGAGGTGTCTGGCCCAGAGATGAGTAGACGCCAACTGGCAGAGGGCACAAGGATGCCTAGAGTTATTTGGGGATCCCCTGGGTGAGATATACGCACAATAGCTCACCATAGGTGGTATGTGAGGTCTCTACCAAGAGCCAGCAGCCCACTCGTCGCCCTAATGGGGGCAAGATGTTTGTATGGGACATAGTTGAAGAGAGATGTAAAATGTAAAATATGAGGCTCCAGAAGTGAAGTGAAGTGAAGCTGTTGAAGTGAAGCTTGTCACCTGTGCCATGGCAATCCCTTCGGCTGAGCCAATCAGCACATAGAACAGAGCACAGCCGTGGAGACAGGCTATATTCACTGTCTGGGCCCAGTGGGGGCCTGAGAATTTACATAGACAAAGGACCCTCAGCACAAGTCTGGGAAGAGAGACCCGCTCTAGGAAGACAATGGTCTGTACCTATAACCCACACATCTCGTGGGTGTTGTGTTCTGTCCCATCTAGTTTCACCGAGAACACATATTTGAGATAAAATGAGTCTGCTCTATAACCTTAGCTAACAGCCCATTAGTTTTTAGCTCATGCAGTAGAGACTCATGCAGTAAGCTTCAGAGGTCCCAGGTTTGATCCCGATGACCGGAGTCTATCTGCGTTATATACCTAGAAAGAAAGAGGAGAGGGGACAAGAGCTCCCTTTCACCCTGGAGGTGGCTGACAGTGTTTGTCTCAGGAACAGGAGATCACAGCCAAGCCTGGAGTAAAACCCTGGAAGGACTGTAGGGTGAGTGTTGCTCTACCAGGCAGAAAAGTATCTCGTTCAACGAGTCTAGGCTCTAGTCAGCGTGGTATGATTTTATTGCCCTGGAACCATTTCTTTTCAACCCTTCTCCATCCTACCCCTCAAATCTCTACACTCTCTGAAATCACTTGTTCTTGTTGTCACTATGAAGTGATCTCGGGCTTTGCGTTGATCGGGGCAGAGATGGCAGGTGGAGCTGGTCAGCTGGGGGCCCTGTTCCTTTGGGAGCAGCAGATCTGTGACTGCTGTGAATGCCCAGCGGGACAGGGGCTGGGTGCTGCTGGGGGCTGGAGTTTGCCGATCGTCAACCTGGAGAGAGACCCCCCCCCTCAAGACATAGAGGACACGGCTTGTGTGGCCTGTGTCTGAGGGAGTTGGGGACCTGCCCCCCAGCAGGCACAGACAAGGCTTCCTCATGCCAGTGGCCCTTGGCACCGCATTGAGCCCACGCCCCACTCCCTACAGCACAGGCCCATAGAACCGCACAAGGGGATTAGGGTGAGCACTGACTGTGAGAGGAGCCCCTTACTTATACCGTCATATTGCTCCCTGAAGCTCAGGCCCCAAAGCACCATGGTGGGGTGAGCACTGGCTATGAGGGACAGTGCCCCGAAATGAGCTTCCCACCCTGCTCCCTGCAACACGCATGGTAGTGGAAGAAGTTTACCTGAGCACACAACACCAGCATCTTCTCCGTGGTTACAGTTATTGTCTCCCCAAGGCCGAGCCCTGCAATGGGAGAGGGTAGCTTCTGTCCCTGTGCAGTGAACGTCATCCAGCCAGATACGGTCTGATCCTCCCCCAAATCGAGCCCCTCCTGGGGCTGATAACGCCATGCCACAGCTCAGCTGCCTGCATACGACTCCAGCATTAGTTATGTCCCAGCTGTCATCACACACGGTTCCCCACTGCTGGTTGTGAAGCACCTCGACTCTCCCAGCGCAGAGACTCGGGCCATTCACCAGTCGGAGCTGAGCCACTTCTGAGATGCCGGAAGCTGCAAAGCCGAAAGGGAATAAACACTCAGGGAGGTTCCTGTGCATCTGATCACTACTGATGCTGGGGGATGAAGTCCCTCCAAATGATGGGTCTGAATAACCTCTGCAACTGCCCATTAGGGGTTCACTCACCACTAGGGCTGTCAATTAATCACAGTTAACTTGGTCTCAGAGCACCTGATCAATCTGGAGTCCAGTGGCACCATAAAGACTAACAGATTTATTTGGGCATAAATTTGATACTTGATACCCCTCATACTTGATCCATCTGGGTGCGGGGTCACAAGCCCCCCATCCCCACCCCCGAGCTGCTGCTTGTCTTATGCCTAGCATGTTCATTCACCCCACCCGCCCCACACACACTATCGGCAGTTACGGGTTGTCTCTGGTGCTGGGCCTGTGTTTCTCCAGCAGTGAGGAGGTAAGTGAGCATCAACACCAGAAAGAGAAAGTCTAGAGGAGGTTTGAGGAAAATGTCATTCTCAGAAAGTGCGGAATACCTGAAACATTTTATTTGAAACTAGGGCTGTCGATTAATCGCAATTAACTCATGTGATCAACACAAAAAATTTAATCACAATTTAAAAAATTAATCGCAATTTTAAACGCACTTTTAAACAATAGAATTCCAATTGAAATTTATTAAATATTTTGGATGTTTTTCTACGTTTTCAAGCATACTGATTTCAATTACAACACAGAATTCAAGTGTACTGTGCTCACTTGTTATTATTATTTTGGATTACAAATATTTGCACTGTAAACATGATAAACAAAAGAAATTGTATTTTTCAATTCACCTCATAAAAGTACTGTAGTGCAATCTCTTTCTCGTGTAAGTGAAAAATACAAACGTAGATTTTTTGTTGTTGCATAACTGCACTTAACAATGTAAAACTTAGAGCCTACATGTCCACTCACTCCTACGTCTTGTTCAGCCAATTGCTAAGACAAACACGTTTGTTTACATATATGGGAGACAATGCTGCCTGATTCTCATTTACAATGTCATCAGAAAGTTAGAACAGGTGTTCGCATGACACTTTTGTAGCTGGCATTGGAAGTTATTTACATGCTGGATATGCTAACCATTCATATGCCCCTTCATGCTTCGGCGACTATTCAAGACGACATGCATCCATGGTGATGACGCTCATTAAATAAATAATGTGTTAATTTAATTTGTGACTGAAATCCTTGGGGGAGATTTGTGTATCTCCAGCTATGTCTTTTACCTGCATTCTGCCATATATTTCATATTATACCAATCACGCATGATGACAGCACATGTTGTTCGTTTTAAGAACACTTTCACTACAGATGTGACAAAACGCAAAGAAGGTCCCAATATGGGATTTCTAAAGCTAGATACAGCACTTGACCCAAGGTTTAAGAATCTAAAGTTCCTTCCAAAATCTGAGAGGGACAAAGTGTGGAGCAGACTTTCAGAAGTCTTAAAAGAGCAACACTCTGATGCGGAAACTACAGAACCTGAACAACCAAAAAAGAAAATCAACCTTCTCCTGGTGACATCTGACTCAGAGGATGAAAATGAACATTTGTTGGTCTGCACTGCTTTGGATCGTTATCGAGCAGAACCCATCATGAGCATGGACACGTCCTCTGGAATGATGGCCGAAGCATGAAGGGACATATAAAACTTTATGCATCTGACGCATAAATATTTTGCAACCCCAGGTACTACAGTGCCATGTGAACGTGTGTTCTCACTTTCAGATAACATTGTAAACAAGAAGCAGGCAGTAATATCTCCAGCAAATGTGAACAAACTTCTCTGTCTGAGTGATTGGCTGAACAAGAAGTAGGACTGAGTAGACTTCTAGAATCTAAAGTTTTACATTGTTTTTTATTTTTGATTGCAGTTATTTGTAATTGCAGTAATTCTACATTTGTAAGTTCAACTTTCCTGATAAAGAGATTGCAGTACAGTACATGTATGAGGTGAATTGAAAATACTATTCCTTTTGTTTCTATTTCACTGTGCAAATACTTGTACTCAAAAATAAATATAAAGTGAGCACTGTACGCTTTGTATTGTGTATTGTAATTGAATTCAATATATTTGAAAATGGAGAAAACATTCCCCCCAAATTAAAATACATGGTATTCTATTATTGTGCAAAGGCGCGATTAATTGCACGATTAATCACGATACATTTTTTTAGTCACTTAACAGCCCTACTCACCACCACTGCCATGCAGCCACTTCTGGGGTGGAACAGGGCAGCTGACAGATCAGGCACAGAAACTCATGGGCTGTGTAGCAGAGGGAGTGAGGAAGAACCCAGTCTCCAGTCACAGCAGTGGGGGATATTACAGGTTCAGAGGTAATTAGCTGAGATGGAAATCACCCGGAGTGGTAGGGGTAGGAAACCCACATAAAGGGACCCCTGAGCATCTGCAGGCTCCATTTGAAGTCTCCATAGGACCCCAAATCCTACAAATGGGATTTACGTTTACCCAGCGCCCCATTGTGCTGTAGCAGCTGTAGAGCAGCGGGGGATCAGAGTGATCAGTGCCAGGACATGATCTCTTACTGAGGCACATGTACTGCTCCCTGGAGTGCAGGCCCTAAGTGCTGTGCTGGGGCACTGGGGACAGCACTGACGTCGAGGACAGAGAGCCTCCTACTGAGCCCCCATCCTCCTCCCTGTAGCACAGGCATGTAGAACTGTGTGGGGACAATGGGGTCAGCACTGACACCATGGGAAGAGCGACACTTACTGTGACCCTGAACCAGCTCCCTGCAGTACAGGCCCTTAGCACCATTCTGGGGCACTGGGGTCAGCGCTGACTCAGACAGGAGAGCTGGGTCTCTGCCGAAAGCTTCCCAGCCTGATCCCTGCACAATACACAGTGACGTGAAGGATGCAAGTTACCTGAGCACACAACACCGGCATCTTCTCCATGGGTACAGTTATTCTCTCCCCAAGGCCGAGCCCTGCAATCGGAGAGGGCAACTTCTGTCCCTGTGCAGTTGACATTATTCAGCCAAATATGGTCAGATCCTTGCCCAAAATGAGCCCCAACTAGGGCTGATAACGCCATCCCACAGTCCAGCTGCCTGCACACGACTCCAGCATCCTGTAAGTCCCAGCTGTCATCACACACGGTTCCCCACTGCTGGTTGTGAAGCACCTCGACCCTCCCAGCGCAGCGACTAGAACCATTCACCAGTCGGAGCTGAACCACTTCTGAGATGCCGGAGTCTGCAAACACCCAAGGGAATAAACACTCAGGGAGGTTCCTGTGCATCTGATCTCTTGTGTCGCTGGGGAATGTAGCAAATCCTGCTGGCAGGTCTCTGCATAGAACGACTGCCTGTCAAGGGCTCCCTACCACTGACCAGGCTAATCACTTGGGCAATGTTGTCCACTCCCCTCTCAGCCAGCTGTCACCTAGTTAGGCAGACTGGACTACAGTCTGACCTACTGCTCCCACTAGAGCACTTAATGAAAAAGATCACCCCCTGCACTGCTGGCAGGAACCTCCTGGGGAGTAGATTTACACCCTCACTCCTGGCACTGGTATTCACTCCAGTGCGATACTGTGCAGTGATGCGGGGCAGATGCTGGCATAAGCATCTTGGTGATTGGGAGCTGAACACAGTCACCTGAGTCATTAGTGGTTGCCTTTGCCTGACATCAGCATTGAATTTACATGTGTTGGCTCCATAGCTCCCTGAAAACATCACCCAGAGTCCATCCCCCTTAGAACTGCCTGGAGCGCAGGGACGGCTAGCAGAAACCTGCTGCGCACCAGGCTGACAATGGTTCTGACCAGTGAAGAGGCAATGCACACTTTCTACAAGCAGATTGGCCCCTCCTGAAGCAAACTGGGGCCAGGACTGACTTACAGGGGAGAGCGTGAGCGTCCCCTACTGAGCGAAGGTGGTGTCACCAGGAGGGCTTTGGCTTCCTAGACCACAGGATGCTATTTGAGGAAGGACTGCTAGGCAGAGATGGCGTTCACCTTTCGAGGACGGGAAAGACCCTATTTGGACACAGACTGGCTAACCTAGTGAGGAGGACTTTAAACTAGGTTCGACGGGGACAGGTGAGCAAAGCCCATAGGTAAGTGGGGAACATGGAGACCTGGGAGATGGGTCGGAAACGAGA